CCAATAAAATATTTTTTTTTGTTCGTTGATTTTATCGTCTAATTTAAATCTCGTCAGCTCGACATAGATATTAAACCAATTTTATCAGATCAATTTTATAGGTTTTAATCACGTATACTTCTACAAAACGTTCCACGCTACCACAACCGGGGATCCTTTCTCGGAAAGCGTATAGTTTTTTTTCTTTACTTATTTTTTTACATTAAATATTTGTACATCATTAGAGTACCTGTTAGAAAGTCGCGACATTTAACTAATAAATATGTACTGTACATTTTATGTATAAAAATATTTTTATCATTAAGTTTACATATGACTGACTGCCTGGTAATCTAGTGTGACCGTCCTTCCCCAAGCCCTATAGTTATTCTGTTCAGTAAAATAGGTTTAGTCGCTGATGAATGACACTGACGGTTGTCATGATAAAACTTAATTAAAAAACAATCAAAAATACATTACTTCCGCTAGAATGGTCTTATACGTGATATGGACTTGACTTTTTAATTTTCGACACATTTGACGAATTGTCTCTGTGCCTCATTAATAAAAGATTAAAGACACCAGTATATATTCCATACAAAGACTCGGTGTTGACATGCACAGACGCCTCGACATCTCTTTAGACGGGTTTGACATAACATCTAGTCTTTACACCTATCGTTCTAAGCATGAAATTCACAGTACATCACATCATATATATTATATCCTATAAATCCTCCAAATGTCCATGTGTCTGTACCTATTTCACTAACCCTGTCCTCCTTTACAGAAAAAATATCTCTGGAAGTTTTTCTACCGCTTCTTTCTCCATGACTCGTTTTACTCATAGCTCGGTATCTCTCATTCCACGACAACCTACTCGGCCTAGGGCACGTAAATTCTTCCCTCTTTACCCTTGAGCATTGTATCCCCACTCCCCCTCCCCAATTCGAACCCCGCGACCGTTGTCTCCTCTCCTTATCCCCGTCCATGCCTCAATATATGAATATTGTATCTTTTCCCTCCTCAATACGTGCCCCATGAACATTGCCCTCACCCCTCTATGCCCCTTCCCTATCTGTGGGTCCTTTACACTTTATTATAACGTTAACTTACATTCCAGACGATGTTGGTAGCAGATCCGACCAAGTGTAATTGACCACACCACACCACACCACACCACCATAACATAACCAAGGTCACACACATGCTCACGTGTTGTAGGTTTACATTTAGGAGCCGACCTGGTCAGATCTGGTTGATTATCTTTGTAACAATATCAGACAATTTATGAAAACCTTGAAACATAATGTTCTCGCCGATATTCCTTAGAACCCCATTATATTTCCCCCTCATTCATATACCCTACACCTCGTTATACATTTGTTGTGCATTTTGTTTCATCCACATATGATGCCTCTTGTTAAAATACCGTTAAAATGTAATGTTCGTCGATTAGTGTCCTTCATTCGTACATAATCATAGTATTTTAGGATCCGTCTCGTTTATATAAACGCTCAAATCATCGGTAAATCGGTTTATATGTATCAATAACATTTCGATATAACATCCCTTATAAATAATAAGCACTTAAAATTCGATAAAATATCTCTCGTGTATTTAGAGTAAAACTTAAATTTAATGTCACTCATTAATGAGCACTAAAACACCGATATAATATCTCTCACTTATTAATGCTAATACCTCGATATAATGTCTCTCACTTATTAGTGCTAATACCTCGATATAATGTCTCACTTATTAGTGCTAATACCTCGATATAATGTCTCTCACTTATTAGTGCTAATACCTCGATATAATGTCTCTCACTTATTAGTGCTAATACCTCGATATAATATCTCACTTATTAGTGCTAATACCTCGATATAATATCTCTCACTTATTAGTGCTAATACCTCGATATAATGTCTCACTTATTAGTGCTAATACCTCGATATAATATCTCTCACTTATTAGTGCTAATACCTCGATATAATGTCTCTCACTTATTAGTGCTAATACCTCGATATAATGTCTCTCAATTATTAGTGCTAATACCTCGATATAATATCTCTCACTTAGTAGTGCTAATACCTCGATATAATGTCTCTCACTTATTAGTGCTAATACCTCGATATAATATCTCTCACTTATTAGTGCTAATACCTCGATATAATGTCTCTCACTTATTAGTGCTAATACCTCGATATAATCTTTCTCACTTATTAGTGCTAATACCTCGATATAAGGTCTCTCACTTATTAGCACTAAAACCTCGATATGATATCACTTACTTTTAAAACACTAAAACTTCGGTATACTGTCCGTGTGTTATTTGCATCATTGCGATGGATTAGCCAGATCTTTAATAAAGTGATCATTTCGCCGTATTTTGATTGGCTAACAGTGCTTTTATAAAGAAGTTTACTCTGTTTGCAGTTGATTGTTATGTATTGATCTGCCGAACTTCTTTAAAAAACATTTGTTATCAAACAAATGACATGCACATTTAAAAAAAAGAATTCAAATGAAAGGTTGTCTGAGTATCCTCCTGTCCTACCACCACTCATAGACGCTGAGAATCTTCCAAATGTCTCATACAGGATCATATTTTTTATTCCTCACGCGATAAATTAATTGACAAAATAACAAAATAGTCAAAAGGAAGCTGTCCAATGAAATGCATTCTGATGCGGGTTCCCGCAGATTGTATCAATAAAAACCTTTTAAATGAAGATTAAAAACAGATTCGTTAATTAGTCACCTTAATGACTTATCGGGGCCTTAAATCACGTCTCCTCGAAGACGTCATAATTATAGATAGGATATAAATGGAAAACATGTCTGTATTTCCTTTTAAGTTGTATATAAGGAACATTTTAAATTTCAATTATTCTATTAGTATTTTAACACATTTTTTAAACGTGTTTTCGTCATGTCAAGAAGCACAACTGAAAACCTTGTATGAAAAGTTTTCAAAGAAATTACGTATATGCTAAATATTACATTGGAACTATCGTCGGACGATTCAGGACAAAATGACCTATTACTGGCCAGAACATATAAATCTGAGAGCTGACCCCTCTTTATCTCAAATCTATGGTGTCGGAAAACAAAATATTTACAAGTTGTAGCAGGGGTCTCGGCAAGCTAACCTATCATCTGACCCTATCCGGTCAACAACATCTGTACCGCCAGCTTCACCGAAACGTGTCCGAGTGTTATAAACGGGAAAGTATGTGAATGAAAATAGCTTCTCAAGTTATCAATGCCTGGTGATCGCTTTGTTATCGTACAGGGGGAATCTCAAAGACATCTTTGACAGATCTTGTATTTTCTAAAGCGCTGGCAGAACTATAGACCGTTTAAAGCGGGGGAGGGTTTGAAGTGCATTTCTGCGAAAGCTGGGGATCTTTAGGATTTCCAATATAAAAAAGAAATTCGCGGTTTTAAGAAAATCCATTTGCCTCGAGCGAGGATGTGCAGGATCCTGTATCAGTCCTCGACAGCAAACTGTGTTCCTCTACTATATCCCTCGGGACAAGTGAAGCTTGATAATTAGCCATAATAGGTACCGTGCGTGGTGTTACAGATGGCCTGGTACTCCATAGTAAAGTTCAGTGGAAGTATTAACGCTGATGTACAGCTGAAACGCTGTAAACTGTGAGAATACAGAATATCATTCTCGTAATAAAAATGTTAGATGTGTTCTCCATCCAAACAATTGTGATTAAAGACGCACGTTCGGTAAAAATATCTTTAAGTAAATTAATTGTACTATTCAAAGAGCCCTTAATCTGTTTTATATCGTTGTCAAATTATAGCAAATAACCAAAATCTATGGGTGAAGAACTGTAACGTTTTCATCGCATTTTCCTAACCTTTTAATGAAAGGACACTCGAAACAATTATTGATTTATTTGAAAACAATTGAGATACTATGTCGTAAGAGGTGATCGGGTGGAACAATAATAATCTTTCACTCGATGTCCGTAGTTCGATTCCCTGAGTGGACGTGAAAAGAATGAGGGTCACCTGCCCGAACACGTTGGTTTCTCTCAGGTACTCTGGTTTTTATCCAACAGGAAAACCTCAAGCATTTCCATCCAGACCAACAAGATTTATTTAATCTGGTAGTTTGTGTCGTAATTGTTTTTTTATATATATAAGTAAATAAAGTTTATTGTTGATTATTACAGGAAATAAATTATTACCTCGAAAGAAGGATATTATATATTATATACAAGAAAATAACATTTCGATATTTTTAATAGTATTTAAGACATTGAACAATTTTATATTTTCATTCATACTCAATGAAAGAAAATGTTTGGAATGATATATCGATGTATACATGGCACAAAGCAGATAAAGATCGAAAGCGGATCTTTTAAATAATTACATTCCACATGTGCCTATTGTATTTCATTTTTATTAAACACGGCAATATTTTAATGGAACATGCTTCTTTAATTCTATCAAGCCACGGGTGCAGAACATCTTTAATTAAACGAACATAACAACAGCAAGTTTGGAGCCACTCGTTCACGCGGAGAACTGAATAAGCTTCGATTAGAAAAAGTCATGACGCAACAAAGCTCCTTTCAAAATAATCTGTGAGGACCGAAATAATTATAATGTGAATTTTAAAGTCATTTTCTCACCTTACAGAATTTAAGCTTTTCATAACCCCGGTTTAAATCTTGTTTCTCCTTTGATCCGACAAAGCAATAGGGGGGCTTTAGGACGCATTAGCCAGGCTGTTTAGAACATCCTCACGTGTCACTTGCGCGAGCGATAAAACCTGCCACCCCTAATCAGTGATGTTTTACCACCTAAGCCTAAAAGGTTAAAAAAAGAATAATGTTGTGATGAGAAAAAGGATCTGATAAACCATTGTTCATGTCAAAGCCATCGTCAAGTGTTATCAATTATTTAAACGGGCAAATATTTGCGGACGTTTAATGAAAACCCAGCGGCGGGGATTTAAGAAAATCGATTTTATATGAAAAGTTACTTACCTGGATTTTAGCGTGTAATATAATCCAGATTTTATCCTCTTTGGAAAAAAAATTTAAAAACTCCTCCCAATTTTGTGATAAAATTTTGTAACAGTATGGTGCTCCATATAAGAATCCACCGCTACAGTCCAGTGTATGGAGATTAGCGTCAGCGGAAAGTGTAACATCCTGCTCCTTCAATTGTGTATGTGTGTGTGTAGTGTTCTGTACTGATACAGACTATATTGAGGAGAGATCAAATGCCCCTCCTCCACGTCCCCCTCCGCGAGTCACATGACGCTGAAGCCTCCTCTCCTACACGCTTACAAAGTCAAGCCAGCTATGTCAAAAATATCAGTTTTGTAGCTGGTTTTGTTCCTTTCTTCTTTTATAACTAAAAAATCAATCATATCTCGAATAGAGAACCAAAGGAGGAACGAAGCCTCCACGAGTTTGCTAAGTGCGGTAGTGTGATAGTTTCCCGCGCTCTGTGTTTATACAGAGGCTGGATCAGTGTTAGGCGTATTGGGACACTATGAGCTCCTGTCGCGGTCTGTTTCATGTCTGTTTCACTGTAACGTACAACCCCGCATAATCATATTTCTTTCAAAAATGAAATGAATCACGCCGTTTTCATTATGCGACTATTGAGTGCATGCATCACAGAACAATTTTACGCCTATTTGAATATGTTCAATTTTCTTTAAACAGATAACAGTTTATAGTGAGCTCTAGGACGCCAGATGTCTCCAATACCGGAGACAACGCTTGCTTGTTCCAATATTCTCTGTTCTCATAATTATCAATATCAAGTGTTTGAGATAGTCAAAAAATAAAATTGCTATTCCTTTGTATCTCGGCGATATCATTGAAATCGATCGCGTATTTCCATGAATATAGAAATACATGAATTTTAAAAAGTTGAACTTGCCATTCTTTAACATTAATGATTAAATTCTCCTTAAGTGGATGTCAGAATGCGTTATCTGCTGGTGGTGTAGTTTAAGTCGATCTGGCATTTCAGGAAACGTAAAAATACAACGAATACTGAATAGGCCTGACAGGAATAGCTTTCAGAGCAAAGGAAATTATTTGAGTGGATGCTACAATTTTAATGTTAGACTATGAGCTATCATTTTGAATGGTGTCCTAATTTCACGCCATATTTATTTTTCAGCGCTTCACAATATGTGATAGCTAGCTTGTATACCCATGAGTGCTCTGATATATAAGTATGGATGAACCACTTAGTAAAAGTCTTTTTTTCCCCCTGAAAATTGTTTGGTAGGTTTTGTTTCCATTAGTAATCCTATCTCTCAATGCGTGTCTTCAATTTCCTCGGTTTGTCCTGTTAAGCGACTGTTGACATTGTTACATACCATTGAATTGCTCACGACGAGAAAAAAACTCCTGTTAATTATTCGTTGATCATTTGTTAATTTCAAAACATTCAAACAGAGTTTTTATCATGATGACTGGACAGGGCGTGTTTTGGGTTTGGGCTTTGATCTGATAAAATATTGACTACATACTTTCATCATAGAAATATTTCTTGTTAATGAAAATATAATCACTTACCACATCCATAACACAAATACACAACCAAGCTAATAATGACATCGTTTTGTGGGCGTGTCGATTCATGACCTTACCGATCTGTTGATATTCGCTTGTAAGTTAATTACACCGTGTACAGATTGGTTTCTTTCTGTGTATACCAGGAGGGCTCTACCCTATGTACTTCTTTGTTTTGCTTTGTGTTGTAGATGTCGCGGATGTTACGTGTACCAATAGTCGATCGATTATCTAAACGGATGAACTTTAAGAAAACGTGGACTTTTATTTATTTTTGTTCCCGAGTTCAGACACTTTGAAAAAATAGCAAGTTAAGAACCACTGGAGTAAAGTACAAACAAACCATTGAGCAGCAAAGTCAATTAGTATGGATACAATGAATGAATGAATGAATGAATGAATGGATTGATGTTTGTATGGATGGGAGGATGGGTTGAGATCGATAAATCAATCAATCAATCAATCAGTCAATCAATCAATCAAATAATCAATCAATCTGTTTTGAATTCGAAATTGTTTCCTGCAATTACATTACATTATGCAGTGCATATGTATTATTTTCAATAGGGTTTTCTTTCACTTAAACTACTACAGTAGATAGTTCCTACACCTGTGCTGTATCATGCCGATTGCCATTTGATTTAAGCCAAAATATATTATTCATTATCGACAATGTAATCCATCAGGTGGAACAGCCATTTTACTGGGCCGTTGCCCTTTCTCTGCCCATAGTGATGGCATTGCGATGGTCACGTGTCTGTTGGCATTTGTAGTACCTTAATTTACACCTAGGATTGGTTGATTCATACTTTGGCATTGCCAATGTAAATATATTCATTCATTTGTCATGTTTATTGGTAAAATTTTGGATTTTACCTTGGTTGAGATGGATTCGGCAATTGCTGTTTATTGAACATTTTCCAAGTGAGAGTTGTTCCTATGCTATAGACCATCTCGTAATTCCATTGTCGCTGACATATTTATAACCGTGCACCGTCAGCATAGCATACCAAAAAGATCTGCTAAAAAATTATCGAAAGTACTACACTACGGCAAAATCATTCTTCATAAAGTCGATTTAACGTTACACCACTATGTAAAATCAATTGGTGTCTTTATCGGTACGGTATACCGTCCTATTCTGGAAGCTGTTATAGGACCATTCACACCTAGACGCGTGCTGCTGACTTAATTCCTGAGCTTATGTAAACTGAAGTATCGAATTACATCGAAGGAGCGCGCGGACTTATCTAGTGCTAGATAGAGTGAAAGGCAGAGAAATGAAAGTGAATTTCTGGCACGAATTGATTGGGATTTTACGATGCACTTCATACTATAGTTATTGGATGCGTTGTTCTTTCAGTACGATTTACCAATGGATTTTGGTTCGAACCCTGTTGAATGTACATCTGCATGTAAAAAATTCGAATGCCTCCGGTGATATGTTGTTAATTCGGACTGTTGAATTGATGTAAAATTGTTTGGTACTAACGTTGATTTATGGCTACGTCGGTAAAGCATTCCGCGCGCAACATTTCGATGGAAAGTGCATTTGGCCTGATCCCCATAAAACAGGATTGGAGTGGGAGTGTTGAAGTTATGTTGAAAGACGAGTACAAGTCTTTGGTTCGAATCACATATCTCGGGTTTTTTGAAGCAGTGGCGAGATAGTTACTTGTAGTCAATATCCTTGACACTATGATAAATGATCTTAATCTGAATCAATATGACGCTTGTCTGGAAACTGCAAGCTGATAAAACAGTCCCTCGAAAATTTAAGCACTAATCTCATTATAAAGCTTGACGCCACAGAGACTCAGTTAAAGATTTGTCATCGCAATTTGAAAATTGGATTCATCAGAAGACGAAATAATCATTTATGCAAATATCCCAGCATTTTTCAAAAAGTCAATTTTACAACTTGGTTTGACATTGAAATCATTTTGGTATCCACATGTTAGTCTATACCTATATCTTCGGGATATTCACACATTAAGTTAATGTAGTGACGCTGATATGGTAGCCATTGTTCACGACTGGCTTATCTACCTTTGTTTCTTTTCTCTGCGCTAGGCTGTAGTTGTGATATTAATGAACTGAAGACAACAAGAGAGCATATATTTCCCCATGATGCTTCGGTAAAGATCGGCCTGGTATTTGGTAATAAATCACCATGTCAATTGTAAACAGAACACTAGGTAAGGCCTATGAGGATAAGTCGTTATAAACAAATATACAGCTATCAACTGTTTTATATTCCTTAATTGCGGATGACGTTAGCAATTTGATTTCATTGTGAAATACAATACGAGAGAAGCGATGTATCTTAAGCATGATATAAACATTTCGAATGTGAAATTAATTCTGACATAATGTCTGGATCACATTATCAATATATCTTTATCCTTCGGGGATCCTTAATCAGCTAGTGTATATAGCTCCTATTTCGACTACTGACAGACAAATTCACAATACAGGGTTTCAATAGATGCAAGTTGCTGAAAGTAATGGAGTTTTACTGTCGTCATAATGACCTTATTGGAAACATCATATTTTGGTTTCGTTGGTGTTTATGTGTTACCATTTGGGAATTTGACATGGCCTTCTTGGAATGATCAATATGTACATAGAGGGTATTGTCAATGAAGCAGAAGACGCTTACCTTTCCAGAACATATGGTCTTATTTACCTTGCACTATTTTTTCACAATTCTCAGTGTTAATCGTAAATTTGTTCATATTTTTACACTGGTTTTGTTGAATTTGAGGTTGGATTATAGTTCTGTTGACATGTTGATATTTATTTGTTTATTTATTTTGGTTGTTTTGATATCATGACGGTTAATTTTTTAAATGTTAAAAAATAACGACGGAAGAAAATAGATGAACAAACGAACATAACAAAAAACTCACTTTGGTATCTTTTAAAAAACGGAATACAACATGCCTGAAATCATTAAAATAAACAAATAAATATAACTAACTAAACATGTAGATATTTTCGCATGTAAATAAAATATGAATTCAAACACAACTACATATGATAAATAAAAAAACCTCAGGGTCAATCGAATATAGATAACACGCGATTGCATGTTGAACAGATCTTTTACATGCTGCGGTAGGCGCTATTTTCTTGAAAAGCGGTCAATATCCGGAAATACACATGTCAGAACGCGCATGTCTACCGTCATGCAACGCGGCAGGTACACACGCATGAAATAACACGTCGAATGAATGATCACGTGATGGCTGCGTGACTAAACACATGTGACTACTCAAAGTTTAAACATCTCTCTAACATATTTATTAAAAAGTTAACTTTTAATTATTTCCGTTTCCACCATTTAAACAGATCGTAATGGGTCGGAATGATTCCTTTGAGACGCGAACACATTGCTTTCCGTGTTATGTTGGAATCAAAAGATTGCATACTCCACTGTAAACTGTGAAGAATGTCTCCGTCACGTCAGACCACGTATTGTGTCTTGAAAGGCGTCCTGTGAAAATAACCAATAACCCTAACCCTAACATCTTCGAAGTGTTCGGTAAAAAATGAGAAGCTATCAAAACCGAGAAATAATCCAAAAGCGATTAAAATTGTCATGAAGTCGTCAAGAAAGTTGCCTCAATGCTTTATGAAATGAAGGGAAAATGTTAATGATTTCCTTTGAAATTCATGTTTTTTGCACATGGGAATCCTTATTTATGCCTTAGAATGTTATACCAATTGGTGGGCGAATTATCAAATATCTCTATTAGCTGATTT